ATAAATAAATTATTTTAGGAAGTATAATTATTAAATTCTTAAGAATTTAAATAAATAAATAAATTATTTTTTAAAGAAAGATAATAAATATATATATATATATATATATATATATATATATATTAAAAAAAACTAGAATATCTATTGTAAAAAGATAATAAAATTAAAGACTCTTAAAACTAAATCAAAAGCAACAAAAGAATTGAGAAGAGTGAGTAAGGCCTCACTTTTGCCTCTATATATATTATCTAACTAGGAGCTACCTTGCGACATTTTATAAGACCTTCGATACATGTATAATTTATAGAATATATATCTAATTTAGAAGATAAGTTTTTTATAAAAATTTGCTATATATCAAAGACATAATAGAATGAAAGAAAATTAAAGTTTTATATATATAAATAGATCAACAATCTATTGATATACTTACAAAAGCTTTAGACATCATTAAGTTTGAAAATTGCCACAAGCTACTAAATCTTATAAGCACTAAAAACTCAAAAATACAACCAAAATACTATTTCTATAGATATAACTTAGTTTCTACTTGTATCCAAAAACTTTTCTAAATATCTCACTTGAATCCAATTACATTGCACTCATAATTTGCCTAAGTAGTATAAACACTAGGACATCTTCTTTAATACATAGCATAGAATGTTTTTAAAAATACAATTGGAAGATGTAATCTTTAGAGATTCATCTTATTAACAATCATTAAAGAATAATCATAGTATTAGCTTACACAAAAAGAAGGACGATTGGATAAGTAAACAAGAAACATATTGCAACCACAATAAAATCCAAACTTGTAAATTAAAGGTTAGAAGAAGCAATAGGCACTAAAAGCTTGCCAAAATCACTAAGACCAACTTGATCATTCATAGCAACTAGATGTGAAACTCAAGAGCAACATTATAACTAGCTAGTGTATTTTTAAGGCAAAAAGAAAATGATCCATGTATCTATAAGGAATACATTCTATTATAGCCGAATCAAAATAATCACAACCTAAATGATAAAAATAGCAATAAAATTAAATCAAAAAGATATTCATTTATAATATTCTAGAATTCCATATATTTGACATCTCATAGGAATATAAATAAGAATCAATTGATATGTATTATTATATAAATTATAAAATTAGAAATAAAAGAAGGTATTGACTAATTTAGGATTCAAGGAGTATATAGGAATTAGATGAAACATTGAATCTAGTCTTCCACATACATCATGCATTCATTATAAAGTCATAACAATATAATTAGGATCAATCAATGGGCTAATTTTTTTTATTAGCACTAAATAAGAATTATATGTATTAAAAAATTTTGATAAATAAACTTTCTTCACTCACTTGTACTCTTAAAAAATACAAATTCTAGAAGAAATGGAACATTGGATGACAATCTTCTTGGATAGGACTAGAATAGAAAAAAATGCATAAATGAAGTAGTTGAAAGGAGATTCAAATTTAGAAGTCTATATAATAGAAGTAATAGTTTTTTTATTATAGCAATAATTATACTTACTAACCAAAAAATACACTTTTATGAGCGGAGACAAAAGATCGTTGATATTGAGAAAAAACATTGTAAATAAGTTAAAAGAATTTAAGTACTAGCAAGACCCTTCTTTTGTTTTTGGTTGACAGTTCTATTGGTTTGGAATCCATTAATAAAAAAAAATTAGCATAATTGGAGCTTAAACTAATAGATAAGGAGATATTGATAATATAGAAGATAATACTAAAAAATGATATTATAAAAATTAAAATATATATATATATATATATATATATATATTGGCTTTTAGTATTTTTTAATTTAAATACGATTTTTTTTTTTAAATTTGGCATAAAACTTTTTAAAATATCTATAAAGTATAGATTAGATAAAAAATAATCAAATAAAAATTTCTAATTCAAAATAATTTTAAAATAATGATTAAATATTAATATATATATATATATATATAAATTAATAATTATACTTCTTTGACCACCATAACATATCAACTACAACACATCAACCACCACATATAAATTGCATGTACTTTATTGTATTTAAATTGTAATTCTGTAAAAATAAATAAATAAATAAATAATCTATTAATTTTTTTTTAAATGTCAAACACGTCATATCAGTCAATTTTTTTTATAACTGATTAGAAGAGTTTTATAGGTCTGTGCTTGAACAAATTCTTTATATACACTGACTACCACATTAAACATAAACCAATTATACACTATCCTATTGCAAGAAAATATGCCACAAAATAGAGCTTAACATTCAAAATTAATAATAAAAATTTGGATTATTATAAGTTAATACAAAAAAGTTTTTTTTTAGACTATATATAAATAATTAATCAAATAATATGAAAAAAATAGATATATAATATTTTTCTATTATTTAATTCTAGTTTTTTTGTTCTATATAGAGAATTTGGTAGCTATTAAGCAACTTCAGGGCCATAATTAGAATAAAGAAAAAAAAAATTATCATCTACTCTAATTGTAAAAGAAGCCATAAGCTTGTGTTGTAGATGGTTAACAAATGTAAGACTAAATAATAATTTAATAATATCAACATCGTCAAAATAAAATAGAGAGCAATAAGACAATTATTTTATAATTCAAATTAATTTAAAAACATCTACAAAGTCTAAAAATATGTTTTGATACAAGGTTTACTAGATATTCTATAAACTTAAGGTTTTTTTCTAATAATTTTTTTAATTAAAATTAAAATTTTAATATAAACTAATTTTCTAATGTTTTAATTACTACCATCTTAAGACATAATTAAAATAAACCACCCTCTATGATATTTCAGACTATTATAATTTTTATTTTTTAAAGATCACATTATAGAATCAATCTCTAAAACCCCTCAAAAGTAATTTTAACTTAACCAATTACAAACGTATCCAACAGATAGAATTTTAGGATTTCATAATCTACACTGGAACAATCTTCATAGAAATCCCACGATACCAATTACTAAGAAACTATTCAATATTGCAACAGATAGAGCTGACTGGATCACAGAAACGACACAAATGAGGAGTGCCCACCCACTCTACCCTAGTCTCACATACCAATCTTATGATTGAATAAACCAATCTTAGCATTGCATTGTGTAGTGCGAATTGAGTAAAAACATCCCCTAAAACTGTGTAATATCCTCGTCTGGTATTTCGCCTCTACTCATGACCTTGTAAAACTTGCATCATATGTTTCTCGGTGATCAATGCCTTGATGCTGATGCGAGAATCTAACTCCCTTCATACATGGTCGAAAGCTTCTCAAGAAACTAAAACTTGATGATGCCCATATACCAACTTAGATAACTTATGCTCTTACAGGGTCATGTTTACTGTGAAGATTGTGCAGGTTGTTTTCCCCCCTACTTTTCATCTCCAGGCCGGTTGCTTTGCAAAAGCTTGTGGTGTTTGTTACCAGCCCTGATGCAGTCAAGGTGGGCTTCTGATTGGCAAGTTCAAGTGCCGTTATTTATTTTGATTGATTCTTTTGATAAGGATTCATTGTTGTCAGCCTCGTTCGCACTGGTGCATTTTTGAGAATAAACCTTGTGACCGTCAAACTGATGCAGGTTGGAGCTGAAATCCTAGTGGTAGGCTAGTGCGGATAGTCATTCGCTAGCTAATCAAAGAGTTGAAGACTTGGAATGCTACTTGATTCCACAGCTGCTGTCTCATGCTTCCTTCTTTTATCATGAATCAGGCACTAGATTTTTTGTGTTCACTTCCGGAAATAATGTAACCGTGAGCTTGTGTTGGAGATGTTTAGGATCCCGTAGGAACTTGAATCTGCAGCTTAAATGGTGCATTAGATCGGTTGTGTATGTGTCAACATTAAAAGATCACCTTATTCAAAGGGTCTCTGATGTCTCTGAGCAGAAACGGCTAAAATTTCAGTGGTGGGATTCCAGTCCAACTGGAGCGTTGTTTCCAACAGTGAACGAATTCTGAGACCATATCTTAGAATTCTCAAAGGTGCACTCAACGTGTATTCTCACAATTCGTTCACTGAATCGCAAGATCACACCCTCTCGAAAGAGTGTTTCCTGTTGGGTACTAACAGAAGGTGTGTACTGGAATCTGTGCATACTTCCTCGCATGTGTGTACTTCCTAGCATGTGTGGTTATACTCAGTCAACGCGTCGTTCACGATCTCATCCTGTCGATGGTTGAGCTTGGCATCCATTTCTACTACAGTTCAGGATGTCCACACGTCTGCACGCCTGGAGCAAAACGACAACTCACTTGGTGTGGATGGTGATCAATCGCCGACGCCCATGCCCGCCGGGTTGGAACACCCAATCGCTTCACAGGAGTCCATGAAGGTGCATATATTAAGAGAGTGAGATCAGAATTGCTACTCAGTTTATGCAACAGTAAAAGTCTGCAGACGAGGGAATTTGAGAAACAACGCACGATCATCCTTCCGGACGTCATTGTTCGAAGTGGCAAGCTGTATGACTTACGCCACAACGTGGACAGCCTCCAGATCTGAGGGTAGTTAATTAGTTTTCTGGAAATACTGGCACAATTCGTTAAGAGACTGTTGTGAAGACCTGGACATGGTGATTCAATGAGAGCCACCAAACATAAAGTATGTACTAGTGAACTAGTACATGGATGGCCACACTGCTGATTCTTGTCATCTCCTAGGTGACAAAAATCGTGGAGAGACGTATTTTCAGTAGGTTCCAGATTCATCATGTAGCGCCAAATTGTAGTAGAGTACATTCACACAAGGACACTTGAGCAATCAATTTACTTACAACGACAATCCAAAAACTCAGCGAAGTGCAATACACCACCACTGCAGAGCACAAGGCAAGCATATCTCATTTGTAACGGTTTAGCTAACCCACATAAAGATGTACAAAGGGCATACTAGCTACAGGTCAAGTGACCTAACGCTTGTAAGGCACAATATGAAACGCCAAGGCCACAAATACAGGTTAAGCTACAAAAGTTAATATCATTGTTTTATGCGCAAGGAATACAAACAGCTGTCCATGTTTCAAGGTAAGTCGTCAAATCTTGGCTAGTTCTACAGGGTGATCGGTTGATAGTTTAAAAGCTGGAGAAAAGTGCAGAAGAAAGACTTCCGTAGAATGAGATTCTGACAATCGATTCAGCAAAACGACCTGCTAATGAATGACATATGAGTATCCGAGAATAACAGTGCAATGCACACAAATGCCTCCTAGACCTGCTGCACACGCAATTGCGTAACATGCTGACGTGCTTTTCGCAATTATTGCACAGTTGACAGATATCGAGTCGAAGACAGAAGATCTAACTAGAAGCTCCTTCAGGAGAAGAGGTTCCTTCAGGAACGATCATTCTTTCAAGGATTGCAGATTTCGGGTTGCTCATGGGCGGCCCTTGCGAGGTGCGCTCCAAATCTTGCAATTTAAACGACACTAACTTGTCCCAATTACCTCCCTCAAATATCACACCTACTTTGCCGTCAGTGACTCTCTGCACAATGCCGATGAATTCGAAATAAGGGTTACTCGGAGAAATCACTTTCACAGTCATTCCTGGCATGAGCAAAGGAGGAGAAGGCGCTCGGGGCTTCAAAGGCCGGGAAATGCTATCCTGCAACTTCCGAATCTCGTTCGACATTTGCGAAGCCTTCGCGGGGGGAGGATTCGACTGCACGAATTGACGCAACCCTTTCTCGCCTCCAGGGAAACCGCCCGTCCATCCTCCCAGCTCCTTGTTGAAAGTCCCCGGGAGCCCCTCCGCGGCTTCAACATTCCCCTCCACGCTTCCTTTCTTCTTCTTCTCTACCACGAGATTCTTCTTCGCCTCCTGCAGTACCCTCGCCGTTTTCTCCTGCTTCAATCCATCCTCCCCTCCTTTCAACCCCCGCCCTCCCAGGACTTGCCAGAAGTCGAATCCCTCCGCTCGAATCCCCACTCGCACTCCTCCCGTCGACCCACCTGAGTTACTCGACGCGCTCTTCTGCTGCTGATGCACGCCCACATTGCTCCCCCAGAACGAAGACTCGCGCTGCAACGCGAGCGACAGCGGCGCCCTGCAGATTCCAGTCATGGCTGCCATTGCTGCTCCGCTCTGCGATCCGCCATCGACAGCTTCACGCTGTGGATATCTCACCACAAGGAACAACCTCCACCGAAGCCACAATTTCATGCATCCATCATCAAACACTCTCATCCATTCACGCACTTATCGCTTCACAATGGCCGTAGAAATTCCTCCCAACGCTCATTGCCGCTCCAACGACCGTGCACATTCATCTTAATTTATTCATCTACGCATGGCTGACCTCGATGCTGGTTCACGAACTCAATTGATCGTTGAGACCATGTAGAGTTGTGTTGATTTTGTGTCGATTCTGGAAAGTGAAGTGCTGAAGATGAATCTAGAAAAACCAGTTTTTTAATGGGTTTAGAACTGGATATGAATATTTACATTAACTGGTAATAATCGGCCACTCCAACGATACAAGTTGGCAGCAGGTTTCTCAGAATTGAGCAAGCTACGTTTGACTAATTGACTGACGCTGGCCCGAATTGCGGTAATTGTCAAAAAAGTGTTCATTCTTCGTGATGTGGAGAGTTGTACTGTTTGTACTGTTGCTGAATAGTAATTGCGTTCATTGCCTTCGAAGAGCTCAATGTAGAAAAGAGTGACAATTCTGAGAAGAGTTTTCATAAACTGGGGTTGACATCAAAAGTGGTGTGAGAGAAATCTCGGTTGTAACGATTGGAGGCTATTACAGATATATAGCTACATCTATATCTAGTTGCAATCTCTCAATGGTCTAATTACGAAACATCAATATGCAAACTGGGTAGGATAAGCTCATCCACAGCAGGGAAGACCATGCAGTAGTTGTACCCTTTTAACGAATGCATAGACGACACATACCGAATAATACCAGGGGATCATTTAACAGTATTCCGGGAATGCAACGACCACACACACACACAACGAAGTACAAGTTAAGGAACTGTAAAAGAGGAAGAAAATATGCAAGGAAGCAACAACTCAGGTTATTTCTGAATATACTGATGTGCTTCAAAGAATGATCACATTAGGGGGAGATGATCCACTGGCATGTCAAAAGGTTTCACCTGCTACGTCCATAGTCTGATTTAACTTCACTGGTATTTTGGACTTAAAACTCGGGCTGAGCCACTTAAGCAATGTAACCATCACTCTTCAGTTGATGATTCATTTTGAATTACAGCTTCAAAAACCTCTTGTAGGTCCTGAGCTCGATGAAGCAACCTTCGTCACGGCACAACCCTTTGTGACGAAAGCTATTGCTCTCTTGAAAAGATCGACTTGCTGGGATAGCACAAGGGACCCGAGGAGAGCCAGCTTTGTCAAGGACACATCTTGGTCAGATAGTCACGAGAATAAAGTGGAGTTGTCTCATAACGCAGTACAACTGGGCAGGAACAGGGATGATAATGCCACGGCGAGAGGGAGCTAGCCGGTAGAGCAATTGCAATTCATTGAAATCATATCGTAATAGAAGTCCTTGCTCACAGATACTTCAGAGTAAATTACTCAAGATATTGCCTGGCCGCCAGCCCTTCATTCGCAGATGGAGCAGCTCCGACATTGTCAGCTCCTGAAAAGAACTTTCCTCTTAATCGCCTCCATCCGTTGCTATCCTTCGACGCAGGTGATGACTCATTCTTTTCAGACAGCTCTTTTGCAGATTCGAACAACTCAAAATCTTTGTCATATATCGAAAGAGTCCTCAATGGCCTGCAAACTCGGCCAGAATCGTTCCAATCGTGTTGACCAGCGCCAGAGCCCCCCGCAGGAGAGAATCTACAATCAGGCTCTTCACATCCCCTTTCATCAGTAGCACGCGAAGTATCATTTCCACCAGGGCACAACCCTTGTAAACGCCTCAAAAGCACGTCACCATCAACTACGTAACAATTCACACTCGACGACTCTTCAACTGATTTCTGGGGTTGAATAGGTGCATCGGATCCAGAAGTTGAGACATCACTACTAGTTCTACTGAAAATGCCAGTTCGAAGAAGCTCCCAAAACTCAGCAGGTTCGTCATTCTCATTGACATTCACAGGAGAACCCTCCACGTGCTCATACCGGATTAACTGGAGTGCAAATTCATGCCCAGCCTTGGCCATTCGCACGTCACTAACTTGTCCATGCCACACATAGAGGTTATACTGTCCATGGATTACGAAAACGCCTCGAGAGTCGAAAGAGAGTGTGTCTGGACCAGTGACCTTTTTTGGCACCAAGAGAAGCGGATCATGAGCAGAATGAGGAGCCATGCGATAGACTCGAAGCTTGTTACTCAGAGCAGGTGCATTCTGTAACTGTTTCTGAAATTGCAGCAGCTGACAAGCAAATCCGAGGTTAGGATTGGTCACTGCTCGAGCACCCTTGACGAAGTTGAATGCATCTTGAAATGTACGCTTCTGCAGCCATATTAAGTAGGCAATCACCAAAGATGTGGACCGGGACACTCCTTTGCAACAGTGCACAAATACGCGACCACCCTGCTCTCTGACCGCCTCAATGAAGTCGAAAACGATGTACAGGACGCTCGTGATGTCCTCCGAAGGGCTATCCTTGAGCCAAAGAGTCTTGTATACAAATTCATCAGGGAAATACTCGGGGCAAGCCAAGCCAGCACTGTTGAGTATATGTGTGATACGGTTCTCCGTCAGGATCTCACGACTCCTAGCCACAGTGCCGCTGCCAACATAAACATGATCTATCACGTGGGAACACACCTGATCGAAAGACGCAAGTAAGTCACGATCAAGCAGGCGCCTCGAGACCTTACATCGGTCTGTATGTTGTAGAGCACTCGTATCCAACCTCATCTCCGACCCGTTACGCATAGTTTTCACCCTTTCCTTCAGCATACCTGGCGATACAACTGCAAAGCGCCTCCGGCGACTACGCAACTCTACACTGATCTTCTAGTACAGCCCTATACTACCTCCTTTAACCAAATTGCCACTACTTAGAGCATCGATTTGTGATAATCAGTCTTGACCATCCGAACTACAATTCAGCTGTATGGCACTCAGTGATCCCTCTTTCCTGATAAGAGGACTTTCCTTGCATCTAGAACGAACCCTTCTGTTTACACGTCGTTCTTGACATGCAAAACGGTCTGCTCTTCTGCGAGACCTGCAGACTTCTGAGCGTATGCACCAGGTGCAAAATTGGTCCACTGCAAGTTGAAGACATTACTGAGTGAACATGCTCTGAGTGATGATGCCCTCCATCTTTGAAATATTACACCACTAAGAGAATTTCTAAAGTAATACCTCTCATTATGTATGACTGGTAGTTTATAAGAGTACAAATTAGTGCATGAAACTCATACTAATCTTTCTTACAAGCGATCGGAAGACATTCAAAAACTAAAACAAGGACATCCAGATCACAAGGTTCACCTAGGCAAGCATTGCGATCAGAAAAAGACAGAGCTATTGTTGATCTTCTAAATTCACCTTCTCCTCATTTTAAGGTTAAGAAGCGGTATACTAGTTACAATGACAGTGCTAATGTTGTTCTCTCATCATCATAGGGACCTTCAGAATTTATTTCTTTACAAAAACCATCGATTTGATTGCCACGCAGCACGTGAGCCAGCCTTCACCTGCAAGAACAACCAAAAATATTGTTAACACAAGAGCAGTGAGCTCCGACAAGATTCTATCATAAGTCTCATGGCCAATGCAACTGCCTCGAAGTCACAAGAGGCCTGAAAACATGCAGTCAGCAAGATGTAGACGACACGAAGATCAAAAATCACGCTCCATGGTGGGAATTGAAACCAGCAAGTTGCATTCTTATTAAAATTTCGAAACCGAAGAGCGACAATCACAACCCAATTTTTTTTAATTTACCGTTACCAGGCCCTTCTAGTCAGCCACCGAGAAGGTATTGAAGAAAAAGACATACAAAGACTCACAATCAAACTCAAATACGAAGACATATATGCCCAACCATGTCACTAAAAAAAACTAAAAAGCACAAAAAGCAACACAACATCCATAATCACCAAGATCTCAGATTTCATCTACCAGACGACACACTTCTACAAATACAAGGGCTAGACACTGGGAGCACAACCTGCCTAACAAGTAGGTTAGCATCTAGGCTTGAAGACAGTAACAGAAGTGAAAAGGAAGTTCACAACATCTCCAAGGCTAAATTTCCACCAGCCGAAGTTAGCCCTCTCAGATTACCTCGGAAGGCTAAGAAGAAGAAGGTCGAGTCCGACAAACCCACAGCAACTTGTGTCTAGGTTTCTCGAAGACTTTGCAAGTTCACGCGCTCCCCTGCACCACCGCCCCTTCCTCTCTACCCACCCCCAACTCTTCCCTTACTCCCTCCTCATATCCACCCCAACCCTGTGTATTTTCACAACGCGGCCTCAAAATGTTCCTGAGCTTTCCAAATACCTGGAAGTCTGCACTAACGCGATGCTCTTCCGCCACAATCTCTTTCCTCTCCCCCCTTACCCTTTACCCCACTTTTCAACAGGTCTCTGTTCTTGCTTTCTCTTCTTCTCCGCAAGCCGCGACAAAGGCTAAATCATCAACATGTGCTCCACTCCAGCCTGACACTGCATCCGTGCTCGGTGAGACGACTCTGCTCAGGTGTGTGCGCTGGTGTCTAGTCCAAGCGCGTCTCGTTGAGTGAATTGTCAGGTGCGCAAGAAGTAGGATGCAACGTCGATGACTGAGCCATTTCTGCTTCTCCCTTCGGGCCTACTCTGCCATCTCCCCTGCCCGAACTGCCCGCACCACGGTGCCCGTTTTTCCAGCACGGACTGCCCGGCCTTTCCCTGGGTAGAAGCCTAGGGGATGAGAGCTAGAGAGGCCTACGAAACTCCTTGTCCACACCTCATTTAAGATTCCAAAGATAGACGGTCGCGTTCCCCAGTGGATTACTGCCACGTCGCCCACTTTTGCGGTCACAGGTCTGGACCCTATTACCGCTAAATGTCACCGCCGTGGAATGTGGGAACGGTACTATTATTTTGATGCTAATTGGTAACCGGAATTATTTCATCCACGAAAGTTATGGATGAAGAGATAAACGAATGATCTGTTCTCTAATTCCCACCAGTTAGTCCCAAAAGTAATGACTTTCCAAGCTCAAACTTCCTCACACGTACACATAAAATTTATTTTTATTCTTATTCTTATTTAGTTATTTATTTATTTATTTATAAAATTCTGTTTAATCTTTAATATATATGTATATATATATGCATTTCATAGTATATATATATATATATATATATATATGTAATATATATGTATATGTATGTATATATATATGAGTATGTATATGCTTTTCCTAGTATTGTCGCTTTTACACCTACATTTATGAGTAGCGGTCATAGGTCCGAGCGGGACCAGAGTGAACATTATCATTCTGTGTGTAAAATATGCTGATTATGTAAGATTTTATCCACTTATGACCGTGTGCGAATTACGCGAGTAAATAACAATCCCTATCAAATCAAACGGATCGGTACAGATTTGATGCGTTTTGGGTATATAATATATGAGTCGTCTTCTTATACGTACAGGATATTGTAAATGTATGTATTTCAGTGATTTGTATACGTATGCTGTTGTGGAGTGAAGGTGACACAGCGCTTGTAGGATCTCGAGAAGATTCTTTATCCGATACGTAGTCAATGACTTATATAAATGGAATGTAGTGAGTAATATCTGCTTTGGAGAGGGTCTGAGGGATTTCAATAGGTTTTGTTCCTTACTTATTTACATATAATTAAATAATAAACAAAACATGTGATTAATGTATACACACATATATGGTGGGGGTTGTCAAAGCACGTGTAATTCTTTGTGGTTGTGCATTTAACAACAGAGATAATTTTGTGTCTCCTTGAAAGTAAATGTTTTTTCCCTCAAAAACATTACATAAATTAAATTTAAGTTAATTAATAAAAATGTCGTTGAAGGTAGGGATTTACAAGTTCTGAGAACATGGAATACATTTTATAGTTAAGTACGTTTTTCTAGTTTTCATGTAATAATTTATCAATCGATCCAGAATGTGATGAAACATAGAGGTGAAGATTTTACCTTAAACAAGGAGATCATAAATAACTATGATTGGAATTTTGTTCAAAGTGTTAATTTTAATTGTGAGTAAACATAGCATTCTCTTGACTGGTTTTTGATAATGATTTTTTCCTGAAATAATAAATACAATTACTATCTTAATTGTATTCTCATAATCAATGAAAAAATAAACAAGAATCTACTACCTATTTGCTTCCATTCTAAATAAAATAATGCTCATTTAATGGTTATAATTGATGTATCTCATAAAATTATTATATCATCAATAAATATATATATATATATATATATATATATATGCATGCATTTACACTTGTATATCTATTTCCATTGTATTATATAGTGTGAATTTAAAATAATTTAATTTAATTCTTTACAATTATTTGAAACAAGAACATGGAAAATACATTTTTTTATTATATATATATATATATATTAATAAAAAAATAATATATATATATATATTAAATAATAATAATATAATATATATATATATATTAAATATATATATATATAATATATATATGTATGTATAATATATATATATAATATATATATGTATGTATAATATATATATATAATATATAATGTATATATATATATATATAATATATATATATATGTATTATATAAATATATATATATAATATATATATATATTAAATAATAATAATAATAATAATATATATATATATATATTAAATATACTAATTTATAAATTTTTATGCTGGTTATAAATGTCACAATCAAGTATTCAACTACCATCTTTAAAATTAAAATTAAAGAGTGATTTGATACATGTGTAAAGATTCATACTATAAAGATTCATACTTCTAAATGACAACCTTTCTTCACCAAACAAAAAGTTCTAAGCCCCAGTTGTTTTAATTGGACTTCTACGTTTATTTTTATTTTTTAACCATTGTATTTAGTTTCAACACAAAAACATTGATAATTTGTGTCATTTAAAGTTTGCTCAAAAAGCTTAATAATAAGGTGAATACAACTAATATTCTATACAAAACACATTTACTTTAAATACAAATAGGTTTTATTTATTTAATTTTATAGTAGTCACAATTATTATTTTAAGTTATATATTAAAGTTTTAGATTATTTAAAAAAAATAGTATAGGACTATAATTATTTTAAAAAGAATAATAATAATAATAATAATAATAATAATATATGTTGCAAATGACATGTTCAGATTATATGTATATATATAGCTTCATAATTTTTACCAATGAGTTTCAAAAGATAATTACTTGTAATTTTATAATTGTTTGTAACCTCATAAGTAGTGTTTCTAAGATTTCTTACATTGGATAATTAAATTTTGGTGATTAAAGCATGTGTGTATATATATATATATATATATATATATATACATCTATATTTTTTGCATTAAAAAAACATAATCATTATTATGTACAAATTTCACTAAATAAGTAGGATGTTCAATTATCATAGTAGCAATTAATAATACATGTTTAATATTTTGTTTGACCTTAATTCATTAGACTTATCTTTTTTATGATATTTCTCAAAATATAGAATGATTTATAAAAGAATGAAACTAATTTGAAGTGTAATCTCAAAATTTCAATCAATAACCACTAAAACTAAAATATATAGTTGGACAACAAATTACTAAAGACACAATTGAATTAATGAAAAAAATGTAGAATCAATATTGTTAAATATTCAAAACTCAACTAAAAACTAGTAAGATAACTTACCAGATAGCTTATTGAGAAAAGATTTTCGATAATTATTTATCTACATTTTCGATGTTTCATTTGAATAATAACCCTAAAACTATACCTAGTTACAGAAGAAATATCTATTACAACACAAATTCCTCACTACCAGAGAATGGTTGCTTCGCACAGTACAGGTCTTGCGATGTTTGCAGTATTCAACTCTGGATAAGCAGTAAAGAATGGGCATTCCAGTACTAAAACTTGCGCCTGAGAAACAGAAATAGTAGAGTAAACATGTGAAGTTATGAACCTGGATTATTGTAAAAGAAGTACAGGCATGAAACTGTCATGTTGAAGCTTTTGGGTGGATATGAGAAGGTGTACCAGAGAGAGATACAATCCAAGCCACGGTATAACTATCTTGTGAGGAATACAGCAATCCAAGTTTTATGGAATCTAAAAGCATGCATTGACATTTAACCATATTATTTGATTTTGAATACAAATGCTGAAGAATATGAAGCTAGTCAGCCTTGAAAACTGCTTGAGCACATACACTATATCAGACTGATCTAACCTCTACGTATTTGAGTGAGGTAAGAAACGACAAGACAATCCAGATGTTACAAATACCCAAATGGACCACGTAGCTCAATAGCCCTTCACAACTCTATCAGCTCTGGGTTTGAACTGTTGAAAACAAATTCCTAACTAAATGGCATGGTGGAGAATGAATTGGGGGAACAACAATGAATGAACCAGTAAAAGAATCCATGTAACGAATCATTTAATCACTCTCGTAGCCGTTGATGTTGAAGGAGGCCGCTTTTTCAATCTGAAAAACCAGTCCCGCATACATTCAGTGCCACAAATCCTGTCCATCACCATAGCAGCGGTAATGAAAAAGCACTGTTTTCCACCTGATGACACCTTTTCTACAGCACCATGCTTGCAGTATCTTGGTGAAAACACCCTCGAGGCCAACAAGAAGCTCATAAGATGCAAGGCAGAGGTGGAAGCAAAAGAGTCACCTGGTTTGAAAGACGTGTGCGGTTCAATTGTTTTGTGCGAGCCTTGCAAGCCATTGAATTTGGTGAAAACAACATTCTCTGTTCCCAAGAACATACCAAGAGATCCACCCAAGCCTCACAATCAGTAGGTCACAACAATCGTTTCATGCTAGCTATACAAACCTAAGATGTAATCTTGACACTGAAATGAACTATCGTGGTCACTGCCAAAACCAAGTCTCATGGAGAACTTTTCAAGATCAATCTGTACTTTTTGACTGCACTTCCACATATGGTTCTAGTGGTACCTTTTCTGTAGGGTTCAGCTGCAGATCACAGACGCGCACCCGCTTCTCCTCCAATTCCACATCAAATATCTCGTGCAGAAGGATATTGCTCTGATCATGAACCAATCTTTCCAAAGTCAAATGACAACACTGTAACTAGACCCGTCCAGAAAGCACGCCTTAGATACTCATGAAAAGGGGACGAATATAGAACTACTTCAAAGTGTACTACTTTTTCAAAGTATACAACCTCAGAATTAGAGAATGCGAAGATCCAAAATTAGTTGACAACTTGTATACACGCTACACAATTGGGAATCTTTCCAGACAACTGAGGTAATGCTCAAGTAATCGACTTTACCCCTTCGCTGTTCATGTTTCAACTTAAACATTTACTCTACACAGCAAGTTCGAGCATCCACAATGGAACTATGCCACAATAACACTCGTCAGATTTCTCCTTCAAGGTATGAAATGACTTCCAGAAAGAAGTTTTGTGAGATTTCATCAAAAGCAAGCACAAGAATGATCTAATAAAGACAGAAGGAGACCTGCATGTGTGCATTAAATCCTGCATCACCCAAGTAACGCTTAAGCCCATTCATCTGCAAATTCATTCAAGCCCACAGTTGGTCACTCCTACGGACCCAAGGTCATTAACACAACGTATGTACGACAACAACATCATCTAAGACCAAATGATAGCCAACTTACCGCAAGCCCACCTATCGTAACTACAATTTTATTAAAACAAAAGACAAAAAGGCAGGAAGTTACGAGAGGAGCAATTCACCTGCACAGTGTCATTCCATGTTTTAATAGTCAACACCTTGCATTTTGGGACTTTCACTTTCACTTCACGAGGCACTCCATCCTGAACGACACAAACAGGAAGAGCACAGAATCAAGTAAAAATAAAGTTAATTCTCCCAGCAGTACTTTTTATAGTATAACCCCACATCTCTGAAGGGTCATCAACAAATTTTAGTTGGATTTTGACCTCAGTGACATCATTGCGACAAATCCTAGGAACACTATTTGAATGATTCATGGGAGCATGAATACGCATTCTGAAACAAGAACATGGAAAATACTAATTGAGCAACACTGCAGCGGAGTGTCTCGCACCGATATTAACTTACTTCCAGTGTTGTAAGCATCTGCCGAAATGACTTGCGGTAAGCAACCCGCTCTTTTCGAGTCTGCCATTTTGTGGTGCTGCCAACTGACAAGTTTTTCATCTCATGCAACATTTGTTCTTTTGTCACATCTTTAAGGGGGTCAGACTGAGTCAACAACTGCTCGGTGCTTCCAACGTCGCCAACTGAAGTCCCTGAGCTGTCATTGCTTATCTCAGTGCATTCAGGAGATGCCTCGTAAAGCGTGGCAGCTGCGTCACCTGCTGCTTTACGCACTGCAAGGTCCGAACTTTGCAATAACGAAGATAAAACAGGGAGACACCTGAAATGAGAGGAATAATACGCATGATTAATCTGATTCTACTAACAGACACTATCAAATCCAAATCCACTTACGTGGGGGTACAGATGCTCAGTGCATTGCTTGCACCAAGCTACCCTGGACCATGTCCGTAAGGGCAAACTCAAAGCAAACCCGTAGCCACAACCACAAACACACACACACACCCCAGGATATGATGTTTGACATGACCTCCACAATCGTGTGAAGAGGCATTTCAAATACCATTCCACTTACTTCCCCCACCTAACAACAAACACGAACCAAGCTGTAAGGATAATTATCAAACAGAACGACGTGAACATGAACAAACTTACGAGACCACAAGCGATTCGGAAACTAGGTAGGGAGGTAAGCTAGACAACAGGAGGGTCCATCCTGACAGCGCAGCAAATTTTACGGCCTCCGGCGGCTTTTGAAGCTTCAGTTTCTGCACCATTGTAGAATAAATTAGAAACTCCGATCCCAGATAGGAGTTCCAAGGCATAGAGTAGGTCAAGAGATTTTATCATCAGTCTCAGAACAATGCTACTAATGAACCCTGTCCTGCAGACCCGTCCAAGCTGAGCAAAATAACATAGCAATTATGATTTACTAGCACTCAATCTCCAAAATTGACAGTGAAGAATCTGCACATTTATGTAAGCCTAACTAATGCTCCCTATGTTGAGGCGATCCATTCTGGAGGTGCTCGTCGCAATAGAAATACCTGATCTGCCTCGTCGTTGGTAGGGCAAACTATTTGCCATAGAAACCCCATCATATCACGGGTATCTCGAGCGACATTGCAAACAAAAGTTACGATCGCCACTGCATCCAAGGCCTGCTCAATCGACGTAAGATAAATCATAACCTACCCATGAGGGAAAAAGATTGCACGCATGAAACGTGGCAGGTCCAGAAAGATAAAATACTTACAGATATCCTTGCATTAGAAGAAGATGCCAGATTGGCAACTTTCAGAAGATACGGTTCAACTTGTTCTTTCACTCTCAGAGTTGCATCGCCAGCCCCAAGTGTCAAAACCAACAACCCTGACAACAGCCATTCTCGAAGTTGAATATCACAAACACATGATACAATAATAAAAGAACTGTCGATGCGTAAGCAACATACCAACTGCAGACGTTGATCTAACACACCTACTATTGCTGGGAACAGCCATACAAATAGAAAGGCTTCAAGCATTCTCGAGCTACCCTGACCAACAGTAGGATCCCCGCTTAAAATAGTCAAATACCAAGTCTATCAATGATCGCATGTCAAAGCCTTGTAGAGAAGAACCTAAGCAGTGAGCAAATGTGAAGCAACATTTGTAGATTATGCATCATACATAACAAAATTCAGCAGCTAATCATAAATCTAACAAGATTAAAAATGTACCTAATGCTCGAGCTGCTAATGCGATCTCTGATGATCCTCCCTTTTTCATGCAGGCAAGAATCTGATGTGATAAAGTCTCATACCTGGAAACCAAACATATAAACACGACTTCCACAAGGAACCTTCAACAAACATGCTGGCTACTATCACAATACACGGGACGTTGTAACCGAATAATACATCCAAGGGTAAAAAATTGCTGCAATCATAAATCAGCACTTCACAACAGCAGTAAAAAATGAGTACTCAAACTGCAATTTAACTTACTTGTCTGCGATGTAGTTAGACAGAACCTCTCGTGACATAATTCGAATGAGGCCCTTCAGACCTGCTTCCCTTTTTGCAGCCCTTCACGTCGCCACATCTCAAATATTTCAGTTGAGTGATTTCAGCGAAATATTTTCAGTTCGTACCACAGTAAGCACTTCTCATGTCTACATTCGCCATAACGAAGTGATTAACACCTTAAGGAGGTGATAGATACCTTTTCTCATACAAGGCATCCAAGCATCCTTCGAGTCCAGAATTGTTAGATTGTGTTTCTTCTAACACATTAGGGTTGCCGTCTGACCAGCGTACATCGGAGGACAAAGAGCTCAGTGAATCGTAGCCATCTCCAGCATACTCATCTCCCCGAGCAACTTTGCGTTGCAGCCGACCTGCACAACATAATCATAGTTACGAAAACCACAAGCAAAGATACCGTCAAAAACACACTCAAAACAAATAGCCACACTCATACATGCGAGCACCCCCTCTTAACAAGTTCCAATAATATCCTGCAAAGTTGCACATACTTTGTTGGCAAGTAGTACTCAGATAAACATTCAATAAATCCCCTTCCACTTAGATACTCTACATGACAGTATTCTATCCTCAGGTGCCTGTAGAAGCCAAAAGAACCATGACGTAGAGAACAAAGCAGGCGTAATTTGAATCACTTACTTCTCCCCATCGTGGCCGACTTCAAATTATTTTTCTAACAAAAATTGTAGCTCAATTGAGTGCAAACAAAACAATCTAACGATATGTTATTCTGTGACACCGCCACTACTACAAGACCAGATGGTGTTATTCCTCCCCAAGGTCGTCTTCCTCAATAACACCTTCAGAACGCACCGCCTCTCGAAGATGAACTGCTCCAAGACTTCACCCTCCATCGATCTCCCTGCTGAACCAAAACTACGAATCACCACGCCAACTAAACTATATGCGCTATTCCCCTGACTACTTGTGCTTGTATCCTAGATTGGGCAAAATTTCACGAGGACGCTCGCCATAGCCGTAGTTTGATTATCATAACACCGTTCGATAAGACCGTCAAAACTTCACGCAAATGTTACGCAATGGAACACTTCAACTTCTTTAGAGGATCAAATTCATTCCCAGAATCGCAGAATTCCTTGCGAATCAAGACGAATTCAACCACTTCGGCCAATTCACGGAAGGAAATGAAATTAGGGTTTCCGAATTAAGGTAGAATTCAACACGCATAGTGGGAGCGTTCGGGAACATAGAGAACGCTGCTTCCTTGCTCGAGGGCGGGCAAACGAGCGGTTGCCTAATTTTTGAAAATGAAAATTCAAAACACCAATAAATACAACTAACTTATCTTAATGTATATTATTATAATAAAATACATTTTGCAAAAAAATTATATTAAAAAAAACTCTATTTTTTTTTTATCTCTTCTTTTAATTCCTCTTTTAACTCAGTGTTAGAGCTTGAGTTATTTGTAAATTCTTATGCATGTAATTAACGAGTCACTGAAAGTATCGATGTCCGCACAAATTTCATCAACATGATACTTTCAAAAAATCATTATTTCAAAATTTTGTTTATCCACTTTGTACCATCTGGATACCCCCATTGTCTGGATGGATGCCTTGTAATTATCCACTAATTTAGTTTAAGCTTTGTTCTGAATTTACTGTTATCACAGTTCTAGAGTTTAGAAATCAATTTCAACATGTATACGTATTTGCAATCCACACATGGTTTTTGATGAGGTCAACAACATTGATGTATGTGAATTTGATCTTGCGACACAGCAATGGCTGCGTAAACATGTTTAAGATGAGAGTATGAAAGGAGATAGTTGGCACTAGAATTGTTGTTGTCTTGCTGCTTGATGCTGCTGTGTCCCCGTTGAGTGAGCTATGGCGATGCTAGTCGTTCATGGCCGCGGATGCAACCATTGAAATGCTTGCTTCGACGTTGTTGTCACAAGTGTGTATTGGCAACTGTGAGGGATACGGCAGACAGTGTTACTATAATCACGAGAAGTGCAACTTCCTGAAGAATAGTTTTACTGTCACTGAACAATTTCACTGCTCAAACGTGCGAGGGATGTGTCTACTTTGAAGAGCGAAACATTGAATCTCTAGTTCACAACGAAGAAGAAAGTAAAGAAGAGCAAGTAGCAAACAATCAGCTGGATAAAATAGTACTTCAGGCTGATTACGTACACCAAGACGCTTTCATTGCTAAGCTGCTCAGTGATCGCTTGCACTTAATGCACGACAAGATCAATTCTACAAGTCGCAGAGAAACTCTGTCGACAATCACTCATATCTGGCAAAATCATGTACAAGGCCGACAGCATTCTGCATTCTACAGGAAAATTGTAAAAAAATTCTAAGGTTAAGGATTGGAAGGACATGAAACATGCAAGCTGTTAGAGTTCGCTCAATTACGAAGATTCGTCGTCTGGCTTCTTCTCTAGGTCTGATTCGGAGTCGCTAGTTTTAGGTTTAGTGTCCTCGGGTCCACCGATGCCAAGAGCTAGCTGAAGGGAAAGCAGGGTAAGGCCAAGGGAGTTCGCGGCGAAGACGAAAGTAGCCAAGTAGCACAATCCCGTGACGATGGTGCGGACGGTGATGGTCAAGTTGCGGATGGAGTAGTTCATAGAAACAGCCTTGCCGGTGAAGCTCCCTTCCACGGTGACGGTGAACTTATACAGCACGAGAGCAATGAAGCCGGCGACTACGGCGCCAGAGAAGGTCTGGAGAGCGCTTGGAGGAGGAGTTTCGACTTCTGGTGCTTTGTTTAGCAATGCCATTGCCGATTTGCGTGCATCCTCCTTGATTTCTCCGGTAGAGCGGAACCTGGTTTCTTTTGCCTTCTTCGAGCGGCGTCGAAGGGAGCGGATCAGAAGCACCGTAATGAGCCCTGTGAGGACCACACTTGCAGCGACTTGCAATGGGGAGGCTTCGGGTATGGCCAAGGGATCCAACAACTCTGGAGGAAGTTCAATAGGCCCATCGGATATCTCCTCAGATATGGAATAGAGAAAATCGGGTATCTGGGAGGCTTTGGTGTAAAGTTCACTCGCTGTAACCAACTCAGCCGTCGCTGCTACTCTTAGCACTCCTGTAGATGGAGCATTCCTTCTAGAATATCTATTAAGACTCGGAGCAAAATTGGCAGAAAGGAGTGAAAGGCGTCTGTTGAGTACAACACCTGAAGAAACCTTGCCGCCATAGCTGTGGTAGCAGCCTACAGTTGCACCGGCAACGACAGCCATTTCGGGCAGAAATTCAGGATTCACAAATTCAACACTACACCACACGACTATTATCACTTCACAAAAATTTTGTCCCAATAGTTTGCCCTGCGGACGTAAATCATCTGCGCGGAGTCTACTCCCTATCCTCCGCAAACTTCCGAAGCTCCAGGGTACCACTAGAAGACGTTCGGGAAGAATTTGCAAGCTGCAAGAATCTCTGCAAAGATCAAATGGACATCAATGTATGGTCCTAAAAGTTCAGCGAATGAAGTAACGTGATCAGTTCCTGTCCACCAGTTCGAACTCCTCCGAACGTCTACAAAATCTGTTTCTTCGCTATCTGTGTGAGATTGTCATCGATAGAAAAATCTCAAAATTAAGCAGTACTGGTACTGTTGACAAGAGCAGAATCGTCAAAAATTGGCCTACAATCAGTGTGCTGATGAGCACTCAACAGTTGAAGCAATTGAGTGTGCGCATTCAAGGTCTTCGAAGCTACAGCCTCATCCAAATCTCAATGCAGAGGCAAGCGTGGATCAAACCTATCTTGAAAGTTAGATGTCAACTATGTACGTTCATCTTATGGATGAAATGAGGCGTATCCCATTGTCAGGTTTCGCAAGCCTCAACGTCACCTTATAATTTGGATTATCATCCAGATGTGAGAAGAATGTTTGCACCTTGCAGGGAGGGTATTTGGCCCAGGCAGTTTGCTGGAAATATTTCACAACTTAGCTGTTTTGTGTGCCTCATTTCTGCTCTTGATTCTGTAGGTGCTCTGGATCGTATCGCCTACATACGGTATAAGTCTCGTGCACAGAATTTTCAACGGTATAGGCTTCAGGGTTTGATAAGGATTCGAGGTTGAAGATTAATTTTATGAAGAAGATGAGAACTTGTATGGATTTATGAAACGGGTTTGATGTGCACCATGTCCAAGGTAGGAGGTGTAATAAACACTACAGTAGATCATGACAAAAGATGAGGCTGTAGGTGATTATGAGTACTGCAGCTGAAGAATTATCAAGATCTATAACTACCTATAATATGTTAGCGAGTTGGATAGCTTCTTGGCAATGCTTCCTAGCTGAATCAAGCCGTTCCAGTAACGTCGACTCCTTCTGAGCTGCACTGATAAGCTTCATGTCCATATCCAGCAACCGAATGACACGAATAACTTCAAAAAGAAGTTGCTCATTAACTTTGTCGTCCGCCTTGAGTTTCTCAATCTCAATTTGTGCTCTTTCAATCACAGCGCTGCCTGCACCTGCTACCATGGCCCCGCTCCCAAATGGTCTATCAAGCAGCCCCCCGAAGACGGTGAGCATGCTGACTATGGTTTCCCCATTGCCTCTGTTGATGGGGATGGGTAAGGTTCTTTCATATACTTGTGCTGCTGCAACCGCGTCGCTGTCTTCCGCCCGAGCTGCTTCTTCCAATCGAGGACCTTTGTCACCATCTCCTGCAGGTGTCCAAGGGCATATCTGCTTAAAGTAGTCGTCGGACATTACACGGTTTGAACAAGAGGTGCATCACAGCACAACATGAAGAGATGCATGTAGGCTAAGAAAAGCTAAACGAAACCTTCCCACCACGTCGAGAACAGCCTCTAGGGTTTCAGACCTAAACAAAATCAATTGTTGATTCAAGAGAAGTCCGGGAAATGGAATCAAATCAAAGGGGCAGTTGAGGTTACCTTGTTCGAACAACAGAGCCTCCCGGATTTCTTCTTCGGATACGCCAGCATAGTATGGAAGGGGCTCGGGCTCTGGAGTACGTGAAGATGATTGTAAGTTGCGTAGGTCGGTTAAATTGAGTGTCTCGCGGTCTACACCTTCCTGAGACTGCGCATAGAGTCTCTTCCTTCCCGCAAAGTCACGTCTCCATCTTGAGGAGAAAAGCTTAATACCACATGATCGTCCCCCAGCTGTTCGGAATTGGGTCAAGGAGCTGGGAGAGATTGAACCCACCGGGATATGTCGAAGAGGAGCTGCAGCACTAAGGTAGGATGAAAGGAGCTGCATTGTAACTAGTGCTGTTTCAAATTGTATCTAAAATTTCTCACACAAGAAAGAATCTCTTACCAAAACATTGCAAATCAGTGGACTCAAGCAATGGGTGAAATCACGGACACTAGCAGCTGTTGTGCGGACGAAAGCAGATTTCAGACTTCACCAGACGAAGCAACGTCACGGCAAGCAAATACTCGCAAGCTAAATGGCTCGGACGCCCACAATCTTAGGTAAAAGTCGAGAAACGAAGACTTGAAGTGGAGACTGTACTGTGAACCCTTACGAGCATTGTTCAGCTACCAAGCCCAATTCCGAGTGACTCCGCCAGCACCAAGTTTTCAATTTCTGAGTTACGAATCCTCACCGCAAACAGAACAATCCGCACTTGCCGGGCTATATGAGAAAAGCTCCTACCTTCAGCACCATTTCTGAATGGATGAATGAAGATAGAAATCATGTCCACAGACATGAATATAATACTACACTCTAATTTTTTTAAATCCAGTTCAAGATGGACCTGAAAACGAAGCACAGGGTTGTGAAGACCAATTTCCTTATAACTTGATGAAGCCTATACAGATTCTAACGAAGAGAAAGTGTTGCTTCGTTGATTTGTGAACCATCACTACCGGATCTTCGATTGCAGATAGCTAGCGTTACGTTCCTCATTCCTCGAGATCTCGTGGAATTATTTGATTGACAGATGTGAGATTATGCCAATGATTTCGAACTCATATCTTGGTTACTGCAGAATGGCAGGTCACAGTAAAAGGTCCAAGCATTTCAAATTGAAAGCTTTGACACTGGTGCTCTGCAATCCTGCTAATTTTTCGCAAGAGTATGGCGAATTCTTATGAATTTCGGAGTATTCGTCACACTCGTCAGGTCATCTAGTTCGAAGAGGAGCATGAGATAGCTCTATTCTTTGCTCGGTTGTAAGCATAGCACAGTTTCAATGGGTGGGCAAGTGCTGCTATAGTGGTACATGACGATTTCGTTGCCTGGGGTTTATGAAGCTGGGCGAATGGTTTGCACTGCAGATGCGAAATTGTTGTAATGGAAAGGTCTACTCTGGAGAATTTTGCGTCTGTTCAGGTGAACGACTTCACTCTTTGCATCGCCATGTAGTCCAGCGAGGTTTCTATGCATTGGGGTTTATCCTCTAATCCTACTATTTTCATAATGAAGGACTGAATTTGTATGTGCCCGTCATGACGTACAATATCAACTGTATATACTCCATTGTCCAGTAATATGAACCATATTAGCAAGTTTGCAGTCGATCGAACCATGTCCATGCTTCATTCCACAAGCATAGTCAATTTGTGGTGGCACGTGCAGGGCAATCTCATTGTTTTAGCGTCAGTGCATTCCAATATCGATGTCTCTGTATCCTCTGTAAGGAACGTCTATTAGGTCCTCATGTTTGGGAGGGTGTAATAGAACTGGCAAGAGTAGTATTCAAATACAACATTTTGAGAACTTGAAGGATGTAAAAGTTTGGCTAATCATCTGATTTAGTTTCATGTTACAAAAAATGGTGACTTAGACTGAACAAAGGTAAAGAGACAAAGAGGGAGCAACCAATTTATCATGAGAGAGGTCTAGTAAAGGTAGGCATCAAAGACAAAACTAACAAAGACAAAACTAACAACTAGATGAGATTATGCTAAATCTGTCAGTTAAGATTCCTAATCTATTTATCTATTGGAATAAGTGTAATCCCTTAATCTAGTCTTAGGAGTGATTGTTAGAGAATCACATAACTTTTGTTAGAACTATCAAGACAACAAGATGCCAGCATATATATCAACACTCTTCTGGTTTGAGCATCTAAGTTTCCAACATCTTCTTACTCAAAACTTCACCATTGATAAAAGTTGCTACATCAACATTCAATAACATGAAGATGGCAACATAGAAGATGTCAATATAGAGAACTTTTGTGGACATTGTGAAGTCACTAGCAACATTGATGGAGATGCTTGTATGGTGGATTGCTCAATGTATTGGTATTAGAGTTCAAACGCTACACCATGCTATCTTATAAATAGTCTAGGATAAAAATCAGCGAAGTCAAGTGAAGCTTGAACAAGTGCAAGTATAGTACAAAGAACTATTAGAATAGAGAGACATATAGAAATTTTATGTTGTAGTGATTGGACAACTTCTTTATAAATATTCATCTTTAATTGAGCCAAATAAATAAATTTTTGATTACAACTACAATTATTACATAAAATTTTAAGTGTTGTGGAGATATTGAGAGTTATATAATTGATGCATTTGTTGAGGCATAAATATCAACAACTAATATGGAACAATTACATGAAGTAATTAAAGAACTTAACATAGAGGACAATAGATAGAGATAGAATAATATATATATATATATATATATATATATATTAATCAAAATATTTTATAAACTAATAATAATTTTATATAACCATTTAAAGTAATTTTTTAAAATCCTTAATTAATAATATAATATCTTTAATAATATATTACTTTAAAAAAATTATCAATAAATTTTAAAAATAATAATCTTTGACAATATTTAATTTGATTAGATAATCAAAAAAAATTAGAACTATAATATTAGATAATATATGTTTTAATATTTATTTTTAGTATATTAAAGTTAGAATAAGATATGACATGAATATGTTTAAAAGAAAATTTTAAGATGTTAAGAACATGAATCATGACATATCTTTGAAAAGACAATACACTCCAGTATCACTTACAGAGAAAATAAACAAATAAGATATAAATATAAGACAAAAAGAAACTAGAATGGCTAATGTCCATTACAAAGAATCTAGATAATCTTGAATCAAAATTTGAAATACAAAAAAGATGTTGTTAAGACTTTAGTCTAACTTCTATATATACCAACTACCAAGAAGGCCTTGTGGAAGCTTTTTTAGAACCGCAAGGCTTATAAATCTAAACATCAAGTTGTAGGTTGCTTCAAATGTAACTCTGTCAAAAGAGAAACTTATAAAATAAGTTTTAATAGCCACATAGCATATTTATTGAATTCCAAAAACATAATAAGTAGTTAAGAAACTTCCTCAAAACTTCTTAAAGAAAATATTACTTATCCGATTTATTTCTATTTATTTACATTTAGATCTATTGTCTAAAAAATATGAGCATCTATTACAAAAGGTCTTGGAAGCCTTAAGACATAAATACATATAGGACATAACCAAAAACACATGATATTTTGAATATATATCTATCTATATATATATATGCTTTAAAGTATATCAAATTGAGTTTCTTGTTGTATATTAATGATATGTAGTTTCTTTAAGGAATTAGATCAAAATGTTTTAGATGATCTTTACACTATTATAAAACTTTGTGATTTTTGTATCTTAACTTTTTTGATAAAATAAATAATTTAATTAATATAATTTATCATATATATGTATATATATATAATTTAATAAATAATAGATTATTATATTATTATTTTTAAAATTAAAGAAAAAAGAAATATAAATAATAAAATATTTATTTATCATATTTTTTGAAAAGAATTATATTTCTAAATTTTTGAAATTAGCATACTATGTACTTAATTAAAAATTAACTAAAATACTTAAATTTTCTTAATTAATCTTTTAGTGTATATTTGTCTTACTTTTATTTTTGTTTTTATTTTTGAATTTCTATTCTAATTGTGTTTCTATGCTTATGTAATCTAATTGCTTGTACTTAAATGTCACATCCTTGTAAAAAAATTACGCTTTTAGATTTAGATAATTTGTGATACTTTTAAAGTAAGAAAAAAATTAGCTTTTTCTTTTAAATTACAATTTTATTCATGAAATTCTTCAGAAATGCTACATACTTTTTAATACATTAATTTTCTTTATTATTACCAACAACATCCCATATACAATGATATTTATCTAGTATATGAAGTTCATTATAAAATACACAAGTATTAAGCAAAAATATTTTAAAATAAAGTATTTGTAAGATTGCTATAATTTATATAATAGAATTGTATTATATTAAGTTTTGTACAAAATATATACTTTAAAAATTTGATTCTTTGTTTGTTTGTGATCTAGTTTTGTTTTTTACTTACTTTAGAATTTTAAAAATAAAAAAGATAAATTTATAAGAATATTAAAACAAATTTAAGTATAATACATAAAAGTATCATATATATATATATATATATATATATATATATATTAAGAGTTTTATAACCTAAAGTTTATATCTTATAAAAAAATCAAAATAAATTTTTAATGTATTTTATTTAATATAATAATATATTAATAAGTTATTTTTTTATTTAGAAAGTTAATAAAAGAATAATAAATTATTTCACACTACTTGCAATAGTTCTATAAGTATTGTGAAAAGACAAATATTTGTATTATTGTACATTTTTGTATCTGTATATATATACATATATATTATATTGTTTTCAATAAATAATCCTCCAAAAAAAAAGCTCTCATAATTAATCAAAAATTTGAAAACTAATTATATTTTATGTGTTATAATTAATAATATTAGTTTTAAATAATTAATTGAATTTAATTGAATTTTATTAATTAATAAAGACCATAAGGTTGGCAGCACTACATGGCCATCAAGTTCGAAATAAACAACTTAGTTTGTGGAGCCTTTATAAGGATGATTTCTATCTTGTCTTAAACATGCCAATTCAAACAATTAATAATCTCTAATGATTTATTTTATTTTTATTTTATTTTGTGCAATAGATGATATTAGTTAATAAAAAATATTTTATATATATTATATTTATTTTATAGGTTGCAAAGAATGTTTTAAAATGCATGATTTTTATAATAATGGGTGTTAATAAGTTGATTACATTTGTGAACACAACACAATATACAAATCACTTATGAGAAACACATGAAAATAAAACTACACTGGAGATATTATATTATATTTTTAAAGAATATAAAAATAAGTATTATTTATTTATTTATTTTAAATAAACAAAAAAATATATTGTAGTTTTGTAATTTTTTATTAACTAGTATTGTAGATGGTATAGGGCATATACGTAATATATATCACAAAGTATAAATTCTTCAAACAAAACATGATAGAGAAACCAAAAAAATAATAAACTTCAACAAATACCTAAGATACTAGAACAAGGATATAAAGTGTGAGATACAATATGGATAGCTAGTTGTTAGTATTAAATTAAAATAAATATTTTATTTATCCTAAAAAAATTGAAATATTTGTACAATTTCGTAAAAAATAATGATATTTGATGTAAATTAATTATAAGATATATAAGAAAAAACATAAATAAATAGAATATATGCAATATTCAATTATTACAGTTTATCAATACTGCATGTAACATAATGTGTATAGTAGATAGTCAAGTTTATGGTTTGATAATTTATGTAATAAAGAAGAAGAGTTGCCAATTAATAACAAAAAAATAGAAAAATAGAAACAGAATGGACAAAAACTACAATACTAATAAAAGAAGAAAAATTGGTCCTTCATGACCTTTCCATGACAATCCTTTAAAAGTAACTACTTAAACTGCTCCTACCATAATGCCCACGACATCAATAATATTAATTAACTAATTAAAAAAATTGTGACAACAAAATCGTACTTCAGACAGCACTTACTGCACACAATAAAGGTATTGCTATATGCAGCTCCAGGCTGAGTGGAGCTGCCCTCTCCCACCTCGTTGCAGCAGAATGACCAAAACAGTACACAGGAAGAAATAATTCATTAATGTATTCTTTTTATACTCCATACTATCCATGATAAATGTGGTGATTCTCCAAATGGCGTTCCTCCTACCCATCCAACTTCCCCATACTACCACCAACCTCTGACACTCCCAGATGTAGTCTTAATCTGGGGATCCTTGTGGGAGGAAATTGCCGATGTGGCGAATCGAAAGTTATAGAACTGAATCATACAGCGAAGAATCAGCAGTCAGCAACAGTTTTATCATGAAAATTTGTCAAGTGCTGACGGTTCCACTTAATTTGTCTGATTAGTTGAATCTTAGGTTAGATGCAGACTGTCGACTCACCGGTTGTTTGAATATGGTTTGTTGGAAACGATCGGCACTGACCCACACCCAATTGATGAACACAAGTCAAGTGCTGATGAGAACCTTGTTGATGTCGAGAAGAGCACTGAACTTGTTGACCATTCCACTGCACCTCCCAGAATTTTGCAGTACAGTGAAAAGCGCTCCGCTGATGTCAAATATGATAAGGGTCAAAAGAGGCGTTCGCCTGGAGGAAGTGCACATGTGGACATCCTTGAAAGGGGGGGGGGGGGGGGGGGGGGGGGGGGGAGGGGACAGGAGTGACACGGCAGAACGAAGAGTGTACAGGAAATGGCGAAGCAGGGCACTACGGTCTTGACTTATGACTTGACCATGTAGAAACCCAATTCTCAGAAGATAACGTCGAAGGTTCAGTGTAGTTGCTTCCACCACTCTTTCGAACTCATTGACATTCTCCAGATTCCCTCTGAATGAAGCAAAGTGTGAATCGTGACTTTCATGTTTTTAACGACGGAATAAATTGAATGGAGGTTGTGTTTGATTAATAGTGATAAGTCTTCTCAAGACGGGTTTCATGGGAATTGATAAGATGAAAAAAAATCTCACAACTGTTACTAATCTGTTGTGCGAGCTTCTTACAATTGCAACTATGGAGATGGAGAAACTTGAAAGAGAAATTACTCGCATATACTTCGTCCTCTAGAAAATGAATGGATGATGTGGATACGGTTGAAGATTCTTCACGTCCCTTATAAATTTTTGCTTGAATTTTTCCACTGTTACTCGCCGGAGCAAATTGACGATTACTCTATACATGCTCCACGGTGGGAATTCGAATTTCCGATGAACCAGAAGTTAACATCTGCATAATTATGGCCAGTAAAAGATGAATTTTACGCTAAAGAAGCTGAACTAACAAAGGTTATTGAAAACCAATATATGCTAAGAGAAGGAATGTATCAGCACTGCTCTACACTACTCGACTAAGCAAGTACTCTATTTAAAAATAATTGCTTGGCTAAAATAATCGATTGTGTTTGTCGCTGCATATTAACATTGTTCTCCAATCAAGCGAGACAGAGCAGCCTTGTGTAAACTCCTACTTCCAGCAGCTAGAACTCCAATACTGTGTTCCCCTGAACAGTTGCAAGGACTTCATGTTAAGACGACATGTCACATACAGAAACTCATCTGAATTCATGCAAGATAATGCCTCAATTTCGGTCGACGAGATAACTGCAAAACTAGTGGCTAATGACCAGTTACTTTCAGATATTTTGAGAAATAGTGTCCTCAATAAGGTCTCGCAGGATTTGTTTCAAAAGAATGCGAGCATTGAATGCGTTAATGAAGACAATGCATTGAGGATACTCGATTATGTGATTTCTAATGCTTAGTAGTTTGGTTTGAAAGAAGTTTTGAATTATCAGTGGACCTAATGGATATTAATCATTCAGACCCCGTAGAGACGAGAAAATTTACCGATATGTGGAAACCATTTGAGACTTTCTCCATTCCAGTTCGTAATCGTCCCACCAGCACCCTCAACCACTGGTACTAAAGCCAAGTAATCATATGGCTGTTGAGTAGAAGAGCAGAAAAGGCAAGCTTAGATATTACTATCCAACCGAAGGCAAGAAAACCTGTTTCAAAATAATGTTCAAATCTGTACAAAACTGCCCTCCATTGACAATGAATAGAGAATCAGTATGCTACTTCATACCTTCAATCCGTGTTCAACAATCACGTCCACATGTCCAGATGACAGCAGCCCATAAGCGTAGCAATCACACCCATACAAAGGAATTTTCACCTGTCAAATGATAGGATAAGCCATTGAGAAACAAATAAATGCATAATTAATATGATCATATTTCAATAAAGATCCTCTTACTTGAGATACAGACAACATTTTAAAACGCTAGCTCATTGTATTACTAAATATAGAATATTAGGCCTAACACATTGTGAAGTTCCATACCTCATTCCTGACACGCACAAAGGCATCTTCTGTTTCCCCAGCGAACATATGAGGACTTGTTGTGTACCTGTGAGCCAGGAAATTGGATAAAATGACTTGAATGGATGACCTAACTGCCTTAACCATAGCTGACGAAATGTCAATCTGTTAGGCGTTGCTAACTTGCTCAAAAGTCCTCACGAATGTTAGGTGGAAATGGACGTCAGCTAGCGACATGCTGAGTAGACACTTCTCATATTTTCCAGACTGTCTTTCGACTTATGCAATATAGAATGGCACTAATAGTATATGAAATGAATGCTTACAAGTATGCATCTTTGAGCAGTGAAGTAGAGGAACGTGTTTTGATTCTGCGGCCATTAAGAGTAGTAGCTTGGCCTTGAACTCCAACCCACCGCTCCCCTAGCACAGGTTGATCGATGATACCAAGCACCTGACAATTTAGTGTATGAGTGACAACCACTGAGTGAAGATAATTGCAAAGAAAAATTTATGGGTTCTACGTGCGATATACCCCTACCAAAATGAAGAACAAGCTGATAAATAACGAGTTACAAAAACAATGGTTCTCTTTAAAAAAACAAAACAAAGCATATTTTCACTGTACCGGAGTGTCCTTGTACAGTAGAGAGATGAGTGTTCCGAAAACTGGCTTCCCTGAAATCCCACATCCACGAAAATCAATGGCTTGTTTTAGAGCTAAGAGCTTCATATTGTTTGTTATTATGCTGGCGATGAGCCAAGCATGACATTAATCTGAGAATTATCTTGAGTGATAATTTATGTGAAATAATTTATGCCAAAAGCCTATGCAGATTGTGGAAGGGATAGCCGCCTCAGAATGCCCGCAGTTTTTGCGACGTTGCTGAAGTTGTTCCATTCAACTTATCTTGAACCACACTAAAAAGGGCGACATAAAAACATCGCACGCTCTGAATTTACTTAGTATTAGATACTGCGCCTCACGAGCCTTTTGCGTCTGGTTCTTGAACTCCGAATCCGTCCCTCATGTTGAGAAAGAGAAACTTCAGGAACGGAATGCCTTCAGCGGAGCTTCGTGAATCATCTAAATTTCCTCGAATTCTAATGTGCAAAGAGAAGGCAGACAAAGACAAAAGAAAGATATTATTGTCACCAGTGATGAAGCTCTTAGTGCCATCAATGGGGTCTAAGACCCAAACATAATCAGAGCCTCCTTCAGGCATCGCCAAGCCTCCTTCTTCCCCAAATCTGTCACATCTTATTATTAGCTTCTACCCTGCCCTCTACCCCTCACAAAACATCCCTAAAGAAGCATAAAATAATTTGTTTTTTGATCACAAGCATTCAGTACTCTTATTATGATCCCCTCTATAGGCTTAAGACACATATTGCATCTTCGTTATTCGTATTACGTAAGATGCAGAAAACTCCTTCTCATCTCAACTTAATACATGCTTGGTTTTAATCTTTACACGAGGCTTTTAAGTTAGCAATATCATACCTCCTAGATGCTTGGATGAAGGTGTTTAAAGATGGGAAAAAAGGAAACTGAAGTCTACCTAGGATTTTCTGATCGGTAAGGAAAAACTTACATTGCATGATCTGGAAAACACCGGGATATGATAGACCACATCGCAGCCTCAGTCTCTCGATCGGCTATTGTCACTGGACCTGCTCACCATCAAAGCCAGTCAGCAGGAAAATTTTAGGCATATCTAAAAGTCTCTAACATGAATGCAGGGAACACATACCACATCTTGTAACTCCAAGCTTTGTATTGGGAAGGGTCCAAAGCGCTCAAAAAGAGTTAGGGGGCACATGACGATGCGGTTGATCAATTCGACAATCAAACGTAGATCAAATCTGACATGTGCTAAGAGTCTAGGCGAGGAGCCGAGAGGAATGACAAGCCTAAACCTTACATGGTCTGCATACCGGAAACAGTTTTGCAATCCCGATGCGTGAAGATCTGGCACTAAATTGTATATTTCAAAGAACGATTCGGAAATAGCACTGACATATTTTACACGGATAAACCTCAGATAATGAAGTCTGTTAAAGCTTTTACCGAAGTTTTAAATGTGTGTGCAACTCACTCAAGTCTTCCTTGTCAATGATCTGAAAGTTTGATCTGAAATACTTCATGACGACTATTCGCGCCGCATCTGCAAGCATATGTCCGACCTCAACAAACTCGTCCATGCCACTGGAACTGTCGTAGCCCTTGTCATCATCAAGAGCTAGCGCAGCGGAATGCTTGGTCCTGGTGGCAAGATGTGCCAGCTTTGGCACCTCCATGCTGAAGGTTGTGGAAAGCCTGTCTTTCCATTTCGTTGAAGGAAGTCCAGTGCTCTTGCCATGCGCATAATTTATAAAAACTCCCTCTGGAGATCTCCTAACATCACCGAGTGATGAAAAACCTCTTCCACCTGTTCGATTGAGCCAGAGTCAAGAACCAAGCCACAGCCAAAGGTCTGTCGAAAATATTCAAAATAATGAAGAATACTTAAAACGAAGTCCAAAAATTATTAATTAAAAAATGCCCGGTATTTATATTATTTTTCAATACTATCAGGAAATATCGCACTGAACTTACCTTTGCACCAGTCCGCTCAATTTACCAGAGCATGTCACCACTGTGATTTGCTTCTCATGAAAGACGGATTCCTCATAAGTACGAGTATCGGTTAAGCAATTCTAACAAGGTGAATTGACAGACCTCGAGACAACAGAATGAATAATTAAACAAATAAATGAATAAAAATGACACTTCGCGAGAACCGTTCAAGCAGAAAGACAAAAATCTCACACATGATTTAATTCAAGCATTATTCTTTGAAACATCAACTACAATGCACCACGAAAAACGGCTTTCAGTGTTCCTCTCTGCTCCTGTAGTTAAGAACGTACTCATCAACATGTGAATCTCTCCGCCTTAAATTCGTATTTCAATTCAAGTCGCAAACGCAATTACTAAATATCGCAACGTCTGGTCAACAACCCGAAGTGTCTACGGAAGCCATGACTTCATACAATTCCCTTCACTTACCTGAAGATAATTCTCCTGCCGAGGAACGAATTGCCGCCCAAAGCGCCGAAACTCCATGTAGGTTCCGCTGCCTGACGATCTCGGTGAGAGCCTTCCGGCCAACGTCCCTGGCCGTTCGCTGCATCGTTGCAAAGAAACAAAGACAAGTACACCAAAACAAAACAAAAAAAATCGTACCAGTTGTTTAAAGGAATGCTCTCAAGTTCAGCACAGAAGTCTCAAGCAATTTCCAACCGATTAACAATCAATTAAACTGGCTCCTACCAGTCACTGCAACTCACTGCTCCTCAGATCAGAAGTTAGGCCGTCATCAGCAGGCAGAGATGGGCAACACAGATCACATTACACATGATGGCGAGCCGCGTCGTGGACAGAAATACCAACACGAGTTGGTAACTGGCTGGAGGTGACAGAAGAGTCTCACGCCTGTTGGCCAAGAGCGGGCTGCTGCTCTCCGAATATGCCGCCAGCATATTTGAGTATAAGTAAAACGGCACTTGCGTTGTTACTGTTGCTTTAGCGAAAAAACAGCCGCACAACTTTTCGATGCAGAGCCTCGATCCGACTTATTCAACCACCACGCATGGTGTTGGCCACGTCAGGGCGACAGAGCGCATTTGTGGACCTCCGGACTGTCTCCCTGCTCGTATTAAGCTTAGATCCTGCATCTGCTCGCTCTTCGCTTGGGTTTTCCCGACGCTATAGCTACAGGCGTTTTTTTTTTTTTATTCCTATCGCAAAAGTTAGGCATGGAGCTCCTTTTACTTTTCACCGAGAACCAAACTTTTGTATAGGACCATGTGGGTGTTTTTAATGATGTTGTGGATAAAAAGATGGGTTCACACATTACGGGCTTTCCAGGAATTGAAATCCCTATCCCTTTTCATGTGAAACAAATTTGTAAGTTAATTTTGAATCCATATTCTAAGTATAAAAAAATGTTTTGATTTCTGTACGTCAAAGTAAAGTAGAGTATGCCGATGACAAGATGGATGACATAAAAGTAGTGCACCTTGAAAAGATGGATGTGGTAGGATCAAGATAAATTTTAATGACAAATGCTAAGAACTCAATGAACAATTATATGATGTGGTTGAGATGTGAATAGTAATGGTGGAATTTAATAAGATGATGTGCTAATTATATTGATAAATTAACAAAATGAAGTTGAAAAGTTTGGCAAGCAATTGGTATTCCCAACAGGGCCTCAGATTTGAAAAAACATGCACTTTGTGAATGTTTTGCAAGCAGTAAAATATTTGCAAAATGACAAGAATGTAAACATGTAAAAGGAAATATATGTATATATAATTCAAATTAAAATCAGAGTAGTCACTCACCAACATGTTTTTTTTCAAACAGATAAAGATTAAACAAATCTTTTTACCAGCATATTCATGTAAGTCCCTGTTTCAAAAACAAGTTTTTACTTTGTAAACTATTAGTTTTGATATATGATGATCATCAATTCGAGACTATAATGTCATATAATTATCAATATCACACACTTTAAATGCAATAAACAAAGAACAAAAAATTATAGCATTTCATATTAATCTACAATGATGATGCTAATAATAAGAATATTATCTTGAAATGTTAGAAAAGACTAGATACTAAATACCATAACAACCATGTCGGCAAAAACAAACAAGCAATTTAAGTGGTTGTAGTTACAAAGTATACAATATTTGTTATCCTCTTTCTCTGTCTATTATCATGTGCTTTATAAATATTACTTTGGTATAGTCTGCCACATGGAATTGTGATTTATTTAGTTAAAAATTATCTACTATTTGTCATTTAGCTACAAATGAAATTGATTACGAATATCATGTCTAAAACAAGTTTAAAGATTGGTCCTTACACATGCACTGTAAAATTTGACTCATTATTATTAATTCGAAAGTATACTACAGCTTTCAAAAATTTGACAACTATGTTGTGGTGAAATTAAATTTCCAAAAACCATAAAAAAATAAAAAATAAAAAATAAAACAAAGCATTAAGAGAACTTATATATTTAGGGATGAAGAGTATTTTTATATAAATCTTGTTTTAAGTTTTTGTGTCTCCAAGTGATTTCTAGAATCCTATTCTTATGATAGAATTGATTAAAACAATGGCATTAGAACAAGTTATCATATATATATGTATATATATATATATACAGATAATGAAGACTGAAAGCACTTCACTTGGACCTTCTATAAAAAATGGAGTGTTCATGAAAGTATTCCACAGTGAAAATAAATAAATAAATAAAATAGCTCATCTAAAAATGTCAACTCTTTCATCTAATGTGCAAATAGACTTTAATAAAATATTCACATATATACAACACACACCCACACAATCTTCTACTTTAAATTTCACCATCAAAATCACAGTCACAAATACACTATTGAAAAGAGTAGAAATATACTTGTTATTTTGTTTTCAAAACATGAGGAGAATAAAATATTTTCTTAAAATTTCTCATGGCTCATTTGTTGTTTTATGTAGTGTTATTGCATTGCATTGCATTGCATTGTAACAAAAAGTAAGTGTAAAATAAATTATTAGTATAGACATCATTTTTATTAATTTGAGGAATAACTTAATTTCTAAACATATATACTGGATTAATTGTATTGAACCAAAAAGAAAAAAAGAAAAAAGAAAATGATGTTGATAATAATGATAATGATAATAAAATAAAATAACTTAGAAAATACCTTATAAAAGCTGTTTCTTCTTAAGTTGACATGATCGTACTTATCTTTGTGACTTATTGTCAATAAAACCTCTTAATTAGTATTTTAAATATTTATTGATTCAAGTTGAAATGCATTTGAAGGCCAACTTCAAAGCAATAGTGGAGCGTCAACAAACTATCAATAATATTTAGTTGTAATCCTCAATATTTAATTTTCAAAGAAATGTTCAAAATAAATCTTACACAAAATCCATAAATTTTAATGATGTGTCGAAATATATCCTTCGACCTAGATTTATTTTTAATATCAATTGATAACAAGAAAAAGAAATCTTAAATTAAAAAATATATAGCTTGCCAAAAATGTCTTTCTATTTCTCTTCACTCAAAGTTTTAGTATAATTCATTACTATTTTTTAATAAAACTTTTAGAATTTATATGTAGAAAGAATGTGAGAGGGATCAAGAATAATAAGATTGAGAATAAAGTACCAATAGTATTGTTAATAAATTAGACAATGATAATGGTTGTAATGTCTTGCAATTACAAGAACTCCCTTAATCTAAATAACTCACAACGGCAATTATGACTTTGAATGGTAATTCTTCCTTTAAAACTAGATCATAGCAAAACTCAATGTATTGTTCTTGTTGTATTCAAGCTTCAATATACCAAAGCAATTGAACTAATAGAAGTAGGTTTGAACACGAAAAAAGACTGATTATATGAATTGGGTCTATTAGTGTCACAATTGACTGTACTCTAGCTATCTGAAATTAATAATCAAACTACAAAACACCAATGCTTACTACTTCCATTTTAATTCAACACATAATCCATTCTATGAATATCAATTCAACAATACTTCCATATTCTTATCAGTTCATCTCCCACTTATTCTCTTTGTAGTTTATATATATTCAATTATTGATCTCCAGCTTACTTATTATATTCAGTTTTTCAATTCATTATACAAAATTCAATATCTTTACTTAATACAACACAATTCGATAATCTCAATTCTCAAGGTCACAAATTTTTTCCAAAACAGTCAATCCAAAGTCATATTCCATAATATTCTAATCTTAGTTTCAACAATACTTCTCTCAATCACAACTCTAAATAAGTAAATAATAAAAGCAAAGAAAATAAAGAGGTAGCACCAAGCTTACCCTCGCTTATGACTCTCACATTCAGGCCCCGATCTTTCACTTCTCAACCTCTTTTTCCTACCAAAAGATAGACCGTCGGCCAACAGATTTCAAAGGTTATGAATCTTTGAATTCTTAATCATTTGTTCCACTAACAACCTATTATTACTAACAAAACTACCTAATCATAAGTCTAATTCTCAAGGTTGTCAATAATCAACCAATAACTTACCACAAAATTTATTCTCTTATTCTACAGAGCTCCACTCTTAATTAAGCAACGTCCTCGTAAACATTATTTAACCTCAACTTATAAAGACGTAGCAGTGCATATCTCTGAAGGTGTTATCGTTGAAACTGGTGTATTGATCCACACTAAATTATTGGCCTCCTTCGCTAATAAAGCTAATTTAGTCTGCAACATCGCAACCTCTACCTGCAGCCGCTCTTGCCATTCCTTCCAATCGGTCTCTATCTTTGCTTTCTCAAACACCATGTTTGCCATCTTCTTCTTTTCTGCCATCCACTTCTTCTTAACTACAAAAGAAAATACAATGCTTGTCAAGAGTCCCCCTCCTACTTCTTACTATGGTCCAATCAATTGGGTCGACTCTCCCCTTTTGTAATAGAAAACTTGTTTTTGTACTGTAAATGCTTACAGTATATAAAAATCAGTTAAAACATATTATATGTTGATAAATCTAGATGTATGTTAGAATTTCTAGTAGATTAAATTAAAAAGAATTGATATAAAAAACTTTACTTTCTTTCTTTACTTCTTTTGATTTTGACATTAAAATATATATATATATATATATATATATATATATAAGACGTAAATGTTTAGTATGAAGCCTTGGGAGAAGGTGGAAACCTAAGGATGAAAATCTAAATTAGTAGGAGGCTAATTGGGAGTGATGAAAGCAAGGCATGGTCGGATGAAGGCAAGGAATGGGGAACTTCATCCCTATTGGTCGAATACCATGTCCAATGGGCTTTGAGGAGGCTGCCCATGACCTTAAGAAGGATTTCGGTGACTTCAAAGAGAGCATTCTGAGATCGCAAGCTAGGATTGTAAATTTTAGGGTTTGGAGTACAATTTGTGTGTAAGAATTAGAGGATTTGGAGTTAGGGTGAAGAAGTTATAGCCATTTAAAGTTAAGGTATTTATTTAAGATATACTATTACTCTTTTGAGGGTACGAGGAGTTTTACAGCAACTTTTGAAGATCGGAAGGTACGATTGGAACGGTGATTTCAAGACCTACATCTTTTATGAAAGAATTATTGCTTTTGAAGTTCATATAAAGGAGTTATAAGGAGTTGAAGGCGGTGCTTCCAAATCAAAAGCAGTAAGTAAGCGGGTTTGTTTGTAGTAATAGTTGGAGCCATAACTTGAGTTTTTGGACAAATTTTTGGTTCAAACTTTTTGAAGAATGTAAAATTTTGTGTTAAGAAACTATACATATAAATTTCGTGGCATTTGAGCTTATATTTTGTGAGACATGAAGAAAATTGCATGTAAATGTATAAAGACAAGGGTTTGAAGTGACTGTTAGGGTTTTCAAGATATCTCAAGTTTTGCAACGAATTTGCAGTTGAAAAGTGTTATAGAAGTTAATAAGAATACATCAGTACCTCATGTAAAATTTGAGTTTGTTTGGACGGTCGAATTAGGAGATATGAAGTGTTGAAGTTCAGAAAAATCTCCACATAAGAATAAACAAGGTTTTAGAAGATTTTATCATATTTTGGAAGTTGTGGGTTACTTGAAGATTGTATATTTGGTGTAATTACTCAAAAAGGAAAAAATTATATATAAA